TATATATATATATATATATATATATATATATTTATTTATTTATTTTTGCCATACTTCTTACCGTTTACAGATTAGGCTTCATATCTGTTAGTGTCCATGACTCATACGATTGCTATTGTTTTTCGATTTGATTATAAATAAACATATTATGTATGGAGATATTCCCCTGTATATCAAGAACTTTGAGGGCACGAAGGTTGGCATTAGCTGGACATCACTACAAAAGTAAAAAAAAAATCAAGGGTTCTCTTTTGGGAACCAGCCCATGGGTAAAGGAAGTAAGGACGGCCCAGACTCGACTACATACATCGAACAATTAGAAAAGATCTAAACACACAGTGGGAGTACATTAAGTGGCGTAACACTAGGGTCGGGACTCTTTTCCGGTCCCGGTCGCCAATTCCATTGTGGGGTTCAGATGTGTTTTTTAAACATGTTTGCCATTGAATATATTATAAATGTTTTTAACGACGAAAAATGACATGATATCAGTGGCGGATCTAGGAGTACCAGTAGAAATTTGAAATTTTACCACCTCAGCCCCACCATGGTTGGGGCTAAGGTAAGAAAATTTTTGATTATGGCACCTCTGGTTATATCTATTGTTTTCAAAATTAACAAACCTGGGGCCCTTAATCCGTCACTGGGTATAATATGTCCTACAGTCGATGTCAGAGACATATTATTCTGTTATGTATCAACAAATCTACTTTGGGGATGCTCAGGATCCTGTCGTGAAAATGTACTGAATACTCAGTGCGTGTAAAAACACTTGCAAAAATAGTACCCGCTGCTCGAATTCAACCCTGACCATCAGGTGCAAGCTCGGTGGTCTAGAGGTACGATGCCAGGCTAGTGATCTGAAGATCGTGGGTTCGAGTCCCACCGGAGAACAGCTTGCAAATATTTTTTGCAAGTGTTTTCACACGCACTGATTATTCTGTAAATTTTCATGTCAGGTTGGGCAAAATTACACATAATTTATTCTCCTGACGTAAATCCAGGTATAGTCTATTCCATCACGTCACGATAATAACATTTATTATTCAATAATAGAACAATCATCGACCTACCTGTAGTGAAGTGAATCTAAAATATATTCATGAAGTTATGATGACCTGAGGTGATTTAAAAACATACACAATAATAGTTGACCCAATTTTAAAATACCACAAACTAAAACGTGAGTGACGATATTTTATTGCTTTAGAAATGTGATTTCAAAAAGTATTTTAGTGCATCGTATATATATACGTAAGGGCTTGTTTTGGGGGGTTTTTTTCCAACTTGCAGAGAAATAGGTAATAGGTAAATTGTAATAAATATAATCAATAATTATAACCTCTAAACCGTAACTATTATTATTATTATTATTATTATTATTATTATTATTATTATTATTATTATTATTATTATTAGTATAATAGTCATTACGTAACGTTTATTATGCACTGTATCATGCGTTATAGAAGTGGAAGACCATAATGTATTGGGAATATACCTCTCTAGTAGGGCCTACACAATCAGTGTAAAAGTGTGAGGTATAGGACAGTGTGGATTTAAACATTGTGCCGCTGCTTACTTGGGCTCGAAACGTAATGTTCAAAATAAGTGTCAAGTATGATTGTTGAAAAAATGGTCAACATTTTATTTTTATTTCTCACCCTGACCTTCGCCTGGGCGAACAGGGTGAAGGGCTGGATCCGCGCCTGGTTCTTTAATGTGCACATTACGGGTGTAATTTTGTCAGTAAAACTGATGTTAAACCACTTTTTTATGCTCATACTCTTTCTGAAATTGCTAAATGTCCAACCCGTAAGGATGGAATTTTATACTTTATAACAACGAATATGGAATCACTTTATAGTACCCCATAATCAACTCACTCATTGGGAAAAGCGATCATAATACAGTTTATCTTTTTAAATCTAATAACAGCCATGAGACACCTGAGAAAGCTACTACGAGTGTTTATAGACCTATGCAAGCGTATAAGAAACATGAGTTTGGTAGATGGATAACTAACCATGCATGGGATGAAGTATCCCAAGTAACATACCCACAAATAACTGGGCAGATATTTATAGGAATACCCACACGTACGCCACATGGGGCCCATGTGCCAAATAGCTGGGAAAATGTATTATTGGCATGCCTATGTTCATTCTACATGGGCCCCACATGCCACATACCTGGGCAGATAATTATGCCCTGGATTCCCCTCTGACTCCCTGTTAATTATGTTTCATTTTTAACTATGACCTTATACGTAGCTACGGTTATTATATGACATGAATGTTCCATTTTTAACACATTCCAAAGTTAACACATTCTATGCTACTGTCAATCAAGCAATTAACTAGTATTTTCCTACTAAGTTAGTCAAGCTACACTTCCACGATAAAGCTTGGACGAACCCTGAAATTAATGAACTAATTAAAAATCGAGAAAGATTTTTTGTCAATATGGATAGGTTTATGTATCTATGGCGTTGTCTAAGAAACGCAACTCTCCAGAAAATAGCTGCTTCAAAGAAATTATTTTATAACACACGTCTCCCAAACCTTAAAACCCATTAGTGCAAAAAATAAATAATGTAGTTTTTAATATTAAATGAGATATAATTCGAGAGCTAGGATCCAGTCTATATAGATAAGGTAAGACAAACTTTATTTTCCATCAAATATGTGGAAATTCATGGTCCATTTGGCGTAAAAATACAAAAACATTAATTAAATTACATCACGATTTAAATTGCACAGCAAATATAAATCTCAAATTATTATCAAAAGGAATTAGGGAACACAAAGTAAAGTTACCTCAAGATTCAAATAGATATGTCTATAGGTCTATTATTTAATTCATTCTTTATACGTAATTTAATAAATTGCGCATTTTAAGATGATCAGATTATCTTCAGTTTATTATCAACTAGATATTCAAATTATTAATAACATTCTCAGTAAAATCTGTTTTGAATATAATATGTTTCATTCCAGTTATAATATATAATTCCAGGTATAATATATTCCAGATATAATATATTCCAGGTATAATATATTCCAGGTATAATATATTCCAGGTATAATATGTTTCATTCCAGGTGGATGTTGGAAATTTGTTTCATGAACTTGAATTTTAAAGATAACAAAATAAATTTTAACTTAGTATCACAGGGATCAATACTGTAAACTTTTCGCTCTATTGGAATCTTTTGATATTTTGACCTTTTCTCCACAAATGTTAGCTTTTCACTTCAACAATATTTTTCACTTAATTTAAGAATGCTATAAGCATGGAGGAAACAGAATTATAATAATAATCTTTATAATTATACCAAGTTGTAAATGTTGTTAATAAAACCTTTACTCTGTAAACTTTGACATTTCCTCTTTAACGATATAAAATGATTTAGAATTCTATTCTAGTTTAAAGAAAATGAATTTGAATTTGAAATCTCCCAGTGCGATCACCTCCATTAACGTCCACTCTCATAGTCCCGTTTGTTCTCCCTATCTAATCAGTGCATTTACCTCTTGAACCACCACCTCCCTTAAGCGACCACGACCACTTTTTGACTTTTGAATTTTTCTTATGATTTACCTTCCGTAACCGACCAAGTTTGTAATAGCCTACCTATCTTTTGTCAACAAATGCAATCAGTTTATCTAATAAATCGAACCGAAAATGAGACCGTTAGATGTGTCAAATTAATAACATTGGCATTAAGGAACACTATTAAAGAAAATGATATAAAAGCTAAAGATAAGCTAAATAGGCTTACGATTCTCACGTTCAAAAACATGCTTGTAGTAGGTAACAGATCTAAGTGCCTGCTTTTAAAACCTATTTAAAAATATGCCTTTATCGGAGGCTTATGATTATAAAATCATTATCCTTTGTTGGCGGAATCAGGGAAAAGTGAAATCTCACACCAAATTTATTTCTTATTTACATATTGAGTTCAGACTAATTTTTTGTTATAAGTTTACAGAAATTAACGTGGTGACACCTCTTATATCACGTAAAACAACACAAATTTTCCGGACCCACACCTGGAGTTCTTGACGGCCCCCCAGCCTAGTTGCTCGCTGCGCTCGGTACCTCCCTCAAATTTTAACCTAGCTGTATCCCTGACACTTCTGAATGTACAGGCTCGACTACCTAATTCATCGTTCATACACTTTCGAAAAGCGTTCATACGTATTTCTGTTTTGAATGTTGACTGCAGTTTGAATGAATGAATAACTGATTGCTATAACTCACCTCAACATACCAGACCGACGACTTGTTTTTAGATGTTGAGCCCACACGACTGATATGTTTAACCTCTGACTGATATTTTTTTTGTTTTTTGGTAGAGGAATCCTTATTGGTTGATATTGCACCTGGCAACAGAAAGGTACACTTTGTTGATCCTGTTTGACAGGTTACATCAACCGATGAATTATCTGGATTACTGGGTTCTGATCTTAAATTTTCATTCAAATTGTTTGAAATTAAATCATATAAATTGCCTTCAATGTTATGGCGTTCTTTCCTTGACACAACTTCAGTATTTTCTCTCTGACTCATCTTGGTTGATGTAGAATAATTACTATAAAGATGTACACTATATTGAATATTATTGCATGAATTACGGTTAGCTGTTAGAAAATAACTATCAGGATTCTCATTGGTGATAGAATTATTACCAGCACTTTGATATGTTGAATGTTTGTCTGTGTTATTTATACTGGACGTCTTTGTCCGCTTATTAACAACAGCGTACAGCGGCTGATTATATTCAGAAGTGGCAGAATTCGTAGTTTTATATTGGTCTGTTACTTCATCATAACTGTATAGTTCATAAACATCATCATTGTTTAGTATATTAGTGGAGCATCTGGCATCAGTATTTTCAGTTATTGCAGTAAATTCATTCTTTTTGAATGGTATCTCTTCATATACATGTTCAGGATTTGCTTTTATGTGTCTGCTTGGAATCGATGGAAGTTTTTTATCGTTGCTATTTTGGCAGTTTTTATCCGTCATCGACGAATCTTTTATATTGCACTTTAAATTTTGATTTACCCTACCAATTGGAATATTCACATAGTCTCTTTCATCATCTGTTTGTTGTTTTCTGTTTTGTTCCTTTTTACCAAATATACGGTCGGGAAACAAACCAAAAGAAGACCATATATCATCCTCTTCTGCTGTCACTGCAAGAACAATATTATTAAGATTTAAAAAAAATATTTGAAATAAAATATAAAGAGAAAAAACATATAAAATCAAATTATATATATTTACTTTCTTATTTGAAAGGAATCAAGTAAGTTTTTTTTCTCTCTCTTTTGTGGGAATTTCACCCACCTTTATTTCTTTCTCTTTTTGTTATTTTTTACATTTCTTTTTGTCATCAACGACATAAAAAATATCAAGAATCTAGGAAATTAAAATTAAATTGCACAGGATATGGGGGTCAGTCCACCATGGCTGACTAAATTGTTCAACTTCGGTTTTACCTGCATTATCATTTACGTTAACATTCTAAATTAAATCATTATCTCAAAAAACAATTTTTGAAAAAGTGCATCCATTCAGAATTGTGTATACGATTTAGAACACATACAATGTGCAGATCCCCTCATATACATATACATATATGTGTATACATACGCACCTTATTATCATACACACATAAATATTTAATATTTAATTTTTTTTCTTAAATTTATTTATTTATTTTTTTTCAAAATAACACCATATAAATTTCTCATATACATTTTAAGGTTAATACATTTACCTACACACATACAGTACTACAAGGTCTGATAATCATGCTGACCAATAATGTTTCTTTATAATGCACCTATTATTATCTGCATACATCTATATAAATACACATATTCAAAAACACTCACATACATACTCATGTACATATACCTACATATACACATNNNNTATACATACATACATACATATATATATATATATATATATATATATATATATATATACACATACATACATATATACATATACACACACACACACATACATATACCCATACATACATATACACATACACACACGTACATAAGTCTATATTTATTTATTTATTTATTTTCTCTTTAATGGTGAGAACACTATATTTACACTTCATAATCATAATAGGCCTAGGACTACATCTCTCATACTGTAATAATTTTTTTTTTCAATATATTTAAAACATATACCTTTGGCAGATTCTTTTTATATACCAAAATTAAAATTCCCTAACAATTAGAGTAGGCCTAACGTTTGAATATCTTGCACGTTATATTTGAATACAATCCATGGATTTATACAAACTGGTTTGTTCAATTCGCTTAATATTTTAATGTAATAAATAGAATATGTTGCAATTGAATACAATGTATTTTTAATTCTGGAACCACAGCCTAAAAGAAGTTCTTTAAACGAACTGCTACGGTTATCCATCCTTTTGAATAAAAGATCTATATTTTTCCATAGTATTTTATTACGTTTGCATTTAAAAAACATGTGTTTTTCATCATCAATTTCATCGCAAACGTTACATTTGTTACTACTTTTAAGTTTCCAATTGGATAATTGTAGGTTTGTAGGAACAATTTTGTTTAGTAATTTATAATTTAACTGTGCATATTTTCTGGTTTTTTTTGTTTTTTACTTTTCTTATCCAAACATCACTCCAAATTATTTCTTCGTTGAAAAACGTGCCCCATTTGCGTGTACAATGAGATGGAATTGATTTTTCCTTAATAAAGCTTGCATAAATAGATTTTGTTTTAGACTTAACTATATTATTTATTATGTTACATTCGTTCGTAGCCATTTGCTCATCACGGTAAGTATTTCTTCTGGTTTCATTAATCGATTATATATAATTATATCATTCATTTTATTAAGTCCTGAGAGAATCCAGTTCTTATAAAATAAAGATTTGTTTCCATGCGTAAATATTAACTTATTTCCCCATAAGTTTTGTTTAGCTACTGCTTCGTAAGTGTTAACTATACGACTCTCAATTTTGTTTAATTCAACACAGCACTTAATGAGGTTAAAATAAAATGGTGGTACGTTGTTAAAGTTAATATGATCTTTTATATTAATGCTTGAATCAAGTAAGTTATGTTAACTTCTAATAAGACACAAAGATCCAAATAATTTATTTATTTTTCTGATTTTCACACATTTCACAGTAAAAATCCATACATTTTTCCGTTCTAATATATAGTAAAATTTGAATTATATATCATATTCTGTAATTCTATCTTAATTTGACTCACCGGGGAGCTGCTATGGCTTTTCATAGTGGAATATGTAATGCAGTGAACATTTTGGGCCACACATAATATTAAAAGGATATTTTATAGTAATGTATCCCACTTATGAACTTTTATTTTACGAACCCGATTTGTGGCGACAACATAATACCAGTCCTTTCTAACTACTAAAACAATTAAAACTGCATTTGAAAATTCTGGACAATAATATAAAATATCAATTAATCAAAGAAAAATGTTTAAACCAGAGGTGGGCATTAAAAAAAAGGTCGGTGCATTTTTCATTTAACACAGAGTGCCGTACCTGTCATTGACATTTCAAAAAATCCTTTATGCACTGTTTTTACACCGCTTCATTAGTTTGCATATTACTCTTTACAGATGATTGGTGTCAGGTCGTAAAAAAAGGGGGTTTTCTAGTCAAAGATGGCAAACATAGGGTTTTTGTGGCCGGTGGATCGCACTTTCCCCACATGTGGTTGAAACCATTAGATATACTGTAACTAGAAATTACAAATTGCAAGTGAAGTGCTGCGAAGTACAACTGCATATAAATGGTCTTCGAACAAAATTATTTATACAAGTCAAGTGAAAATAATGAATAACAAAAATATAATAAATAATATGAGACACGACCCATTGTCTATATTAGAACACTTCTCATTGTGTAACAAAGTCGTAATTTTTCATTTTTGTCAAAAAGTGTCTATAGTGGTAAATTATAGTTTAAGTTTTTTTAAATAAAGTTTCAAAATGTCTATGTATGTGGAAAATGCAGTTGATTACCAAACTTAGGTTACAATTTTTATTTTGAAGACTGCATGGTCTAGGAAGTGTACATTTTTTATGGGGCAAGTTACCAAGGGCGGGTTGCGATTTTTTTTCCCGTACGAAACATTTGCATGAAACTTCACTCGCGCCATCTCGGATTGACTCGGCTGAGTTTGATACGAGGAACAAGAGCAGACACTTCGCAATGTCGTGACGCTCGAGTTTTACTATTATTGTTCTTTCTATGTTTACCTACGGTAGGCCTGTGATATCTTACGGATTTATGGGATGTACGTGTGTAACTATAACTGTGACCTTCTTGGATGTTATTACATGTTAGTATAATATCAACAACAACAACAACAGCTAGTACCCCCTTTTATAAAGTGTAGATCTTGTACAGGAATACCAAAGGCTAGAGAAAGAGGATAAACTGTAGGCCTAACTACAGACTGAGTTCGTCCTACCTAGGCCCTTCCTACTAGGCCTAGGTCCCTAGGCTGATACCAACAGTCACGCTTCACATACAGACGTTGATTAAAATTTTGGGGAAAAAAATGGAAAAAATTGAAGCATAAAATAAAAAATAGAGTTGGTTTTAGTAACATAATAATTAATAATAATATAATAACATATGTTAAAATAAAAGCAGTAAAACATTAACCACAGCATAGCATTCATGTTGGTGCACTCTCTTACAATGTATTAGTATATTAATACATTGTAAAAGAGTGTATTAATATACTAATACATTGTAAGAGAGTGTATTATGTATTAGTATATTAATACACTCTCTTACAATGTATTAATATACTAATACATTGTAAGAGAGTGTATTAGTATATTAAATATTGTAGTTAAATGATTCTTTTTGTTTTAATCTGTAAATAAATTGGCTATCAGCGAATAAAAATCAATTTAATAGGCCTCGCTGATAAAACGTTTTATTAGCATACCTATGATTAATACATAAATTTTAACTAAGATAATAATAAAGGAAATAAACAAATCAATAATAATCTATAATTATACACACATGCCAATTTGTCTACAGGAGGTCTGACTCAAGGGGCCTACTAGAGCCTCGGTGGTCAGGGACCTGGCACAACAATCCTGATAGGGTTTGCAGGGGGAGTATTTTAGAAGGATAGGATGCTTATCACCACCATCCAGCCTCTCTACCCAAACATAAGTACTTCCCTGTTTGGATTTTTTGCAGATATTATTCTGCTGAAGACGATTGAAGCATCTCAACAACAACAGTTCTTTTCAGAACTACTTATGTGGTGTACCGCAAGCTTCAACACATATATTATTTCTTCGCCATGCAAACCTTTAAGCAATAGGATGCTTATCCTTAATTTCATTTCATTTTATTTCTAATTTTAACTGATAGCTATGCTTACAAGTGTTTCTCTACAGCTTTGTTGCCTTCCAATATTTTTCCTTTTAAGTTGAACACAAATGAAGCTCCTTCCTGAACCAACCATCATTTTTCAAATGCACAGTATGCTGTTCTTTCGTTAAGTTAGACCCTAGGGATTCCCCTACACCCAGTGGCGGCTATAGGATATATTTTCTGGGGGGGGGGGGGCGCTGAGCTGTCTGACAGGGAGAACTTGGGCTCGAAGGCCCGAGCTGGGGGAAGGGTTTGAGAGGGTGTTCCCCTCCCAAATGAGACCATGAGAGATGAGAAAAGATCTTTCAAAGGAGGGGAGAAAATTTTTGTTTTGTTATTTAGAAAAATAATTTCGCCAAAAGCATCTAAGATGGAGAAGATAAATTAAAACTTTATTGATGAATGTAAACAGTGTAGTACAGAGATTGATAAATGCTGTATATTCATATAATCAAAGAAGAAATATATACGGTATATCTTATTTTTGGAGATTACAGGGAAGTGGAGGCCATAATAATATAGGCCTAAATATTTTCTTTAAATTTCTTTTTTGAAATTTTAATTTTTCGTGGCGGAGGGTGCGCTAACTGACTTAAAATTAAAAAAATATGTTTATTCGAAATCAACATTACTGGCAGTCGGAATGTTCGCTAAAAATGAATAAAAAAATTCTCGCCTAACTGCCATTAATCTTGTCGTGCAACCAACTTTTGCTTTATTTTACTAAGCTCCTACTATA